TTTTCTGAGAAAAATGTTAAATAGCATCGGGCCAAGAACCTTCGGGACCCCACTAGAAACCCACACACTCTATGAGAATGGGTATAAACTGGCATGAATACGTTTAGGCTGGAAATTAGAAGAAGGTTTCTAACCATCAGAGGACGACGGTTCTGGAACAACCTCCCAATACAGGTAGCGGGGGCAAACAACCCAGCTAATTTTAAAATACAGTTTGATAAATTTATGAACAGGATTATATGATGAAGTTACCTGTGACAGCAGGACTCTGGACACAGCGATCCAGTCCTGTGTGCTATGATTGCTCATGTGGATAGCAGTTAATCCACTGGATGTATGCCAGGCTGTATTGTGCTGGAAGGGCACGAGGCGGTGGTAGTGGGGAAGGGGATATGTTTGAGGGGCACCTGTGAGGTTTAGGAATGAGGGGACTTTGTGGGCATACTGCACCACCTCTTGGCTAGCAGCTCTGCTCTCCACCTGGTCATCCCTGGCCCCAGTAGGGCTGGAGTGGCTGTGCAGAGGAAAAGTAGTAACCAAGGGGCTGTGAGGGGTACATTTATCAGCTGGAGACCCAAAGGGGAGGGGAGGCACACTGCAGACACTCTACTCCCCTTTGGGGGCTAACAGGGGGAAGGGATTCTGCACAAACCTGAGACCATCCCATGGAAATGACACTGGAGCTCTGAGACGTGTGAACTGACCCATTCTCTTCCTCATCCCCTCACAGTCTATCCCAGTTTCTGTTGTGGAATACCAACAAGCTCCCTATGCATGTGCTCAAATGACTCCAAATTTGCACCACAAGCTCTACTCCAGCCCCTGATATGGCACCACAGTTTTAAAGCAATTTACATATATATTTTGAAAATTGTAAGCAGCTCATTTTGGAGGAGGGGCTGTATATCTGAAACTGTTGATGAAATGACCAGTTTGCACCACAAAGTCTGCCTTCATGCTGCAGCGTACCAGTTGTCAAGACAACCTCCCTGTGCATGTGGGTTTCAAAGCATTTTGAATATTAACAATTAAAACCCTAACGTTGATATCACATAATTTTCTAAGGGCTGCTCTATGTCAGGAACCCCTTGGTAAACAGCCCCAAATTTGGCTCAGTGACCCACCCTGGAGCCCCACTGAGGCAGGGCACTTTTCAAGCAGTCTGAGTCAACATGTGGATTTTACAGCACTTAGAAAAATTGGCTGTTAACAGTAAGCAGCTCTCAACATTTGCTATTATGGTGCTACTCCCCCACTCTAACAAGCAGGTGAATATTGAGTTGGGGTCAGTAGGAGGTATGACCTGTGCAGGTGTCATGAGTGAGACAGTTACTGAATACTGTGTCCTGTTTTGGGCTTCAGAAAAGAGGTACAAGAATGAGCAGCTGCCTTATAGTGAAAGACTAAAGAAGCTCAGTCTATTTAGAGGTGACTTGATCACAGTACAAATACATGCATGGGGAAGATATTTCTGAGAGCAGGCAGCTCTTTAATCTCCCATACAAAGGCAGAACAAGACAAATTCAGACTGGAAATCAGCTAAAGGTTTTCATCAGTGAGGGTAATTAACCTTAGACAGCATGGTGGATTCTCCGTCACTTAAAACCAGTAAATGGCTAGTGGATAGTTTTGCTAAAAGACTTGTTCTGGCTCAGCCAGTCATTCTGGGCTGGATGCAGGAGTCACTGGGTGGGATTCTCCAGCTGGGTGATGCAGGCGCTCAGACTGGCTCATACTGTGCCTCACTTTTGTCCCCACTAAAGCAGCTGGACCCCACACCCTCTGCCCTACACATCAGCCTGCTGTGTGATCTCCCCAAATCCAACTGCCATGCCACCCCTTCTCACAGCCTGCTGTGCTCTGCTTTGCCCACTCGTCTCCTGTGCCCCTCACCCAACCTCCCATACTCTGTGCACGCCTGCTGCTGGGAGCCGCTTTGCTCCAGGAGCTCCTTGCTTTATGTCCAATCCCTCTCTGAGCATGGACCAGGGCCGGCTCCAGGCACCAGCCCACCAAGCTTGTGCTTGGGGCGGCACCTGGAGGGGGTGGGCGCGGCGCTCCAGCCGCCGGGGAGAGCAGGGCCACGGCCGGGCTCGCCGCCCTCCCCCGGGTGCTCTGGCCGCCCTCCCCCTGGCCGGGGCTCGCCGCCCTCCCCCCAGTGCTCTGGCCGCCGGGGGGAGAGCGGAGCCCTGGCTGGGGCTTGCCGCCCTCCTCCCAGGGCTCCGGCCGCCCTCCCCCCCGGCGCCCTCCCCCCGGCCGCCGGCGGGAGAGCGGAGCCCCCGCCGGGGCTCGCTGCCCTCCTCCCAGGGCTCTGGCCGCCGGGGGGAGAGCGGAGCCCCGGCTGGGGCTCGCCACCCTCCTCCCAGGGCTCCGGCCGCCCTCCCCCCCGGCGCCCTCCCCCCGGCCGCCGGGGGGAGAGCGGAGCCCCCGCCGAGGCTCGCCGCCCTCCCCCCGGGGCTCCGGCCGCCCCCCCCCGCAGGGTGGGGGGCGGCCAGAGGCTTTTTTGCCTGGGGCGGCAAAAAAGCCAGAGCCGGCCCTGGCATGGACAAGACAAAAGAGTGGAGAAACAGAAAAAAAGGAGTGGAAAGGGGGAAGAAGATGGAGGGAGGGAGACAAGCCCATCAGGTGAGGTGTGTGCAGCTGGGGCCGGTTCCCAAGGCTGCTCCAGAGCTCAGGATGCCTGCAGCTTCATGGATTCTGTAGCTGGTGGCAGGAGAAGGGGATCCTGTTACATGGGGCTACTTCCAGCAGCTGGAGGGGCAAGGGAAGTGAGATGGGAGGGAATGAGTTCCCTATGAAATGCACACAGGGCTCCAAGGAACAAAGCTCCCGCTGTGGGGAAGTGCCTGACTACTCCAGTGCAAGCCTCTCTCAGTAGGGGGACCTGTAGGGAGCCAGGCAGGAGTGCTGGCCATTGGGGGAACTCCTGGATACTCCAGTCCCCTTCTCTCTCACCAAGAGGTGTTCTGGGGAGCATGGCAGGAGAGGTGGTGGGGGCACTGTGGGGAGTAGGACAGGAACTCAGGTTTTGGAGGGAGGGTGCAGCACGGGGCACTGTAGGGAGTGGGGTGGGAGCCATGGCTGTTGGGAGGGGGCAGCATGCGGCCATGTAGGGCATGGGGCAAGAGTGCTGGACAGGGGCTCCTTGTTACTCTAGTCTTAGCCTCCCAGCAGGAGAGGCCAGTGGTGAAATTGCTTCTAGGGCCTGGGCTGCCTGAGGGGCTGACGTGTGACCCAGGTTAGGAGGCTCCTAAGAGCTGTTTGCAGCCCCCAGCTGGGCCCTTTCCCTGGCGCTCGTCTATGTTCCTGTGCTGCTTGCTCAGGGGAGCTGAGGCCCCAGCCCCAGTGTGGGGAGGAGCTGCAGCTATAGAGCGTGAACTTCACTTCACCCGGACCTGTCCCAGCTGCCTCCCTTTTGCCTCCTTTTCCGGGGTCTGTTCTCCCCTCCGAGCTCTCAGTGGGAGATGAGCCCTGGGCAGTGTCCCCCGGAGGGGATGTTCTTGGGAAAGGAGCCGTTAGTAGCTGACCTGGAGCTGCAGGGAACTGGAGGGATCTTGGGGCAGCCTCCCCACACAAACGAGAGCCCAGGATATTGGGCCAGGAGCCCTGGGTTCAAGGAGCAGGTTCTGAACCCCCCGGTGCCCCTGATGCTCTGGCAATGCTGGCTTCCCCCGCCCCGCCCTTCTTTCAGGGCCCAGCAGTTGGCTGGGCTGGGGCTCCTCTCCTGTCACTGCCACTGAGAAACTCAGAACCAAGGAGTCTTTCTGAAAGTTGTGCTGTAGCCCAGCTGGGAGCAGGTGAGCAGGGCGTACTGGCCGGCAGCTCAGCCTGTCCCTTAAGCCTGTGACAGCCCGCTCCTCACTGCAGCCCTGGCCGGAGGTCTGGGAGTGCTGACACTTGGGGCCCTAACAGCAGGATGGGATCCTGAGGTGCAGGAGGGGTGTTTCCAGCCCCTATGTCCCAGAGAGCATAGTGGGGTGCTCAGAATAAGGATGACTCTCCTGCCCCCCTTGAAGTTGGGTCACTTGCAAAGAGACCAAGAGGAGGACCTCTGGGCCCCACCTGCAGCACCAGACCCCCCAACAGTGCTGCAAGGGGATGACCAGTGGGAGAGGGCAGTGGGAGGTGCTGGCTGCTCAGTGGAAGGTGAGGAGCAAGTCCTGGCTAGCTGCTTTCCCTGCAGCTTCTCTGCACTGGGGGGAGAGCAGCAGGTGAGTGCCAGTCTGTGCTGCACTGTGGGACAGGCTCGCATCCCCCAGGCTGGGCTTGGGCAAGGACACTGGGGTAAATCTGTGGAGCTCAGCCTCTCTGCCCAGTGGCCTTTCCTGGGGCAAGTCTCGAGACCACCGGGGGCCTGGACAGCACAACGATGGGCACCAGAAACAGGGAGGCCACTAAACTAAGAACATGAGTAGTAGCGGCCTGACCCATGTCACCTCCAGCAGCACAGCAGCCCCTATTGCTGCAGCGGGGCCAGCTCCGACTGTGGGCAGAAATGCCCGTTTCTGAGTCCCCACCCCACTTCCTGCAGCACCCCCAAGTGCTGGGGCGAGCACTGACTGCAAGGGGAGAGTGCCTCTGTTTGAGCCCTCTGTCTCCAGTTTGCAAGGAGGGACGTGCTCCCACCATCCCTTGGAGAACGCTGCACTGATCACTCATTGGGCAGGTATCGATTTACCTATCCTAGGTGGAGTATCTGAGCGCCTCAGTATCTGTGAAGTGTTTACCCTCCCGAGACCCTTGCAGCATCCCCATTGTATAGATGGGAACGGCAGCCCAGAGAAGCTGTCATTTGCCTGTGGTCACACAGACAGGCTTTGGTGGTGCATGGAATTGGACCCAGGCTTCCCGAGTCCTAGCTTAGCCCACTAACTCCTGGCCATCCTGCCTCCTACGTGCGGAAGGTCTTGAGCTGCCCTTGGGATGGCCGGGAGAGCTGGGCCTGGCTGCTGGGCTCCAGCCCCACTGCTGCTCCCACTGACATAGTGCCTTTCCACCAGATCACGGCCACGGATGCAGACAGTGGCCCCTTCAGCTCCCTCTCCTACTCCATCGGCTCCGGCATTGGCAGCGTTGTTCCCACGCAGTTCAGCATCGATGAGCACACTGGGCAGCTGTGCACAGTGCAGGGCCTGGACCGCGACGAGGGGGCCACCACCTATGACTTCACTGTCACTGCTGTCGATGGGGTGAGCGCTAATAAGGGGGGGCGGGGCGGGGGGGGGGGGGGGAGGGGCTGAGCAGTGGGTGAAGGGGGATGGGCCCATGGGGAAAGAGGCTGAGTAATGAAGGAAGGGGGTCATGGGATGATGGGGAAAGGTGGGATGGCCCTTGGATGGAACTGAGCGATGGGGCAGGGGCAGCTGGGCCCCTGGGGGTGCTGAGCAATGGGGCAGGGGCAGCTGGGCCCCGGGAGGTGCTGAGTGATGGGGAAAGCGGGGGATGGGCCAACGGGGCGTGAGCAATTGGGCGGGGGAGGGAGTTATGCCCCCAGCCTAGTACTGTTCAGAAGGTTATCCCTGTCATCCCATCCCCCCCAGGGCAGTGAGGGCCTCCCAGCAGCCCAGCCCTGGGCAGAGTTATGCCTGGTCCTGTCCTCCTCCAGGGTGGTCTGAACTCCATGGTGTACGTGAAGGTTTTCCTGGAGGATGTGAACGATAACCGTCCAGCATTCTACCCGCTGGAGTACGCGGCCAGCATCAGCACGCAGAGCATGCCGGGCACAGCTGTGCTGCGCGTCATGGCCCACGACAAGGACGAGGGCCCCCACGGGAAGGTGACGTACCACATTGTCTCGGGGAACTCGCCCCCTCTCTTCTCTCTGCACAAGGACACAGGTAAGAGCCCTTGGTGCCCTGGCCAGGTGTGGGGATGGGTGGAGGGAAGGGATCTTCCCCAGGGTGATACTCAGTCAGTCGCAGACAGAGGGTATGGGGGGATGTGACACCTGTCAGTGTTAGTGTACAGCACGCTCATCAGCTCCACAGAAGGGCAGCCCCACCAGCCAGCAGCCCCCTCTCTCCTCAGCATTCCCCCTGCCCTGTTTCCACTATCCCTCCCCTCCCTGCTCGGCCAGGAGTGTGGGGCAGGGGTGAGGGCTCCGGCTGGGGGTGTGGGCTCTGGGGTGGGGCCAGGGATGAGGGTTTGGGGTGCAGGAGGGGGCTCAGGGCTGGAGCAGGGTGTTGGGATGTTGAGGGGGTGCAGGCTCTGGGAGAGAGTTTGGGTGCGGGAGGGAGTTTGGGGTGCAGGGTCCCGGCAGCACTTACCACAGCTCCCAGGAAGCGGCCGCCAGGTCCCTGTAGCCCCTAGGCACATGGGCGGCCAGACGGGCTCCGCATGCTCCCCTCGTGCCCACAGGCGCTGCCCCTGCAGCTCCTATTGGTCACAGTTCCCGACCAATGAGAGCTGCAGAGCCGGCACTGGGGCGAGGGCAGCACACAGAGCCTCCTTGGCCGCCCATGCACCATGGGGCCTCAAGGACCTGGCAGCCGCTTCTCAGAGCCATGCGGAGCTAGAGCAGGCAGGGAGCCTGCCTTAGCCCCAGGCCCCCACTGCACCACCAACAGGACTTTTAACGGCCCAGACAGCGGTGCTGACCTCAGCCACCAGGGTCCGTTTTCAACCGAGTATTCTGGTTGAAAACTGGATGCCTGGCAACCCTATTCCCTGCATTCCTGACCACATTCCCTGGGCCCAGAGAGGCTCCATACCCATGGCCCATTCCCCAGGGCCCTACTTTTCCTGACACCCTTCCCCCCCAGGGCCAGGGCCAGGGCCAGGTCCCAGGCCCTTTCTAGACTGAACTCCACCCCTCTCCCCTCCATCCCCCCAGAATCGGCAGACTGATCTCCCCACAGCCAATGCTGAGATAAACGGGGCCAGGTTCACTCTCCCCCTCCACCCTCTTTTGGCCTTTCTAGGACTGATGGGTCCAGGGCTGAATACAGTGGGAAGGGAGGGAAGGGGAAGGGAGTAGGCTCTCCTCAGACCCCTATAGAGAAGGGCTGCCCCTCCTTGCCCCCAGATGTAGCCCCCATCTCTCTTTGCAAATGCCAGCCACTTTTGTTCCCCCTCTGACCCCTGGAGTCAATCTCTGGGGTTGGCATCTCTCTCCCTTGGTTATTCCCAGGCTCGTGGCTTGTTTCTGCATCCCTAGAACAGGGAGGGGAAGTGCATTTCCTGCTGGGGGAGGGGGACACAGTGTTCAATCCTACAGCACTTCTCCTATGAGTTTCTTTCTCTTCCAGGTGTTGTCTCCCTCTCGTGGTCCCTGAGTGGCAAAGCCAACACGCTAGTGCAGCTGGTGATCTCAGCACGGGATGGAGGGGGCCTGTCAGCCCAACCCAATGCTCAAGTGAACATCAGCATCGTGGCTGGCACGGTCTCACCTCCTGTCTTTGAGCAGGCACAGTACTTCTTCACAGTGCCTGAGGACACACAGCAGGGGGCGAGTGTTGGGGCCGTCCGGGCCCATAACCCCCCAGGTATGGACCCATCGCAGCCCCCAAAACACGTTGGGCCCATGTTTCCATTTCAGGGGTCCTGTGCTCCTGCCCCACTCTGCACAGTGACTCTGCTGGGGTCTCCTCCCACAGCTAGCGGCCTGCCCTCCCCCACGGTGCCCCCTGCTGGTGCCCCCACAGCGCCCCCACGGCGCCTCCTGTTCCTCCCATCCCCTGCTGGGAGCTCCCCCCACAGCCAGTGCCCTGCCCGCCCCCACGGCGCCTCCTGCTGGGAGCTCCCCGCACAGCCAGTGCCCTGCTTTTCCCCATGGCGCCTCCTGCTGGGAGCTCCCCGCACAGCCAGTGCCCTGTCCACCCCCACAGTGCCCCCTGCTGGGAGCTCCCCGCACAGCCAGTGCCCTGTCCACCCCCACAGCGCCCCTTGCTGGGGCAGGCTGGGTGGGTGAGCAGAGCACTGCTCTCACTGTCCTTGCTCTATATTCCCTTGTCCCCAGGTCACTCTGATGACATCTTTTATTCCATCTCCTCGGGAGATCCCCATGGCTATTTCTTCATTGACTCCAGCTTGGGACAGCTCCGCACCAGCCTCCCTCTTGACCATGAGGTCCAGGCGGTTCTGGTTCTGGACGTGCAGGCCCGAAGTGGCTCGCCGCCTGCCTACAGCAACACGCAGGTGAAGATTTCCGTGTCAGACGTGAATGACAATGCGCCAGCCTTCCTGGCCCCTTCTGACTCCATCCTGCTGCCAGAGGCCACAGAGGTGGGGGCCACTGTGTACACGCTGCAGGCGGAGGATCGGGACAGTGGTGCCAACGGGCAGGTGCACTTTGAGCTGGTGTCAGGTGGGGACGGCATCTTCAGCGTGGAGCGCTCCTCTGGGACAGTGCGTGTGGTGGGGGCGCTGCAGTACGAGGCCAGTGCCGCCTATGGCCTAGCCATAGTGGCACGGGACAGCGGTGTGCCCCAGCTCAGTGCCACCTTCACCCTGCTGGTGCATGTGCAGGCAGAGCACGACCACGGGCCCATCTTTGACACACTCACCTACCGTGTGGAGGTGCGGGAGGGCACGCCTGTCTCCACTCGCTTCCTGCAGGTGCGGGCCCTAGGCCGGGACACTGGTGCCACACCCCTCACTTACTACCTGCGTGCCGATGGCGACGCCGCTAGCTTTGGCATCGTGCCCGAGAGCGGCTGGCTCTATGTCAAGAGTGCGTTGGACCGGGAGACGCGGGACCTGTACATGCTGACAGTGCTGGCGTCTGCAGGCGCAGGCGGCACCAGCAGCGAGGCTAGGAAGACAGGCACCAGCACGGTGCGGGTCAGCATCACTGACGAGAATGACAACAGCCCCCGGTTCAGCGAGGAGCGCTACTTCTTCACCATTCCCGAGAACCAGCCACCGGGCAGCAGGGTGGGCAGGGTGACAGCCAGTGACCGGGACACGGGGCAGAACAGCCGCCTCACCTACCGCCTCCTCCAGCATGACCCCAACTTCCTCATCCACATGCAGTCTGGTGAGAGACCCCACAGGCGGTGCAGGTGGAAGCGGAGGGAGAGCCCACCGAGATCCGAGTGGGCATGGAGGGGCCCGTGAAGCTCAGCAAGGGGTGACTGTGAGGGTAGAGCAGTGCTGGCCCCAATGTGGCACTAGGGGGTGCTGTGCCTCAGGGAGGGAGGTGGAGGTAGCATCATGCTACCTCGTCAGTGACTCCCCGGTCTGAGAACTACCAGAGCCGTCCCAAGACAGAGTGCTGTGTCGGGTTGCCCTCCCTCCCACAGGGCTCTCATGGCACTGGTGGTGCCAGCAGCCCTTTAGGCAAAGCCAGGCCCATCACTGAGCTACTGCAGTCGCAGATGTGACTGGTGGGGTGGTCCCGCCTTCCACCCGCCCAGCCCAGAGCCCAGCGCTCAGGTCAGCAGGGCCCAGCAGCCTAGAGAAGCCAGAACACAGGTGCTGAGACTTAAGGAAGCTTGTCAAGAGGGATATACAATGGGCCCAGGGGTCAGGAAGGGGCGTATGCACAAGGATGGGTTGGGGGGGGTCACACCCCAGAGGAGGGCCAATGTCAGCCCGTCTCACAGGAGGTTAGAGATCACACCCCAGACAAGGGTCAGTGTCACCTTGTCTCACAGGAGGTTAAGGCTCACACCCTAGGAGGTGGGTCAGTGTCACCCTGTCTCACAGGAGGTTAGGGGTCACACCCCAGAGGAGGGTCAGTGTCAGCCTGTCTTACAGGGCATTAGGAGTCACACCGCAAAGGAGGGTCAGCGTCATCCTGTCTTACAGGAGGTGGGTCGGTGTCACCCTGTCTCATGGGAGATTAGAGATCACACCCCAGAGGAGGGCCTGCTGCAGCTGGCATGGCTCTCTTGTCATCAGCGTTAGCTCAACTGTCCTGCCCCCCCTCTTCTGCCCTGACCTGGCATCTGCCTCGCATTGGGGTCCTTGGTGGCTGGCACAAGGGGCCATGGCTAAGTGGGATACAGTAGGGGACCCTTATGCAATTTCAGAGAGCAGCTCTAACCGTGTTCCACCAACCCCAGCTGGCTCCCTTCCCACTGCCCTTTCCCCAGGGCCTTTGTCCTGTCACCACCATCCCAGGGCCACCTCCTTCTCCATGGCCTGCTCCTTTGGGCTGGCTCCCCCACCCACAGCCCATTCCCAAGGGTTGTGACTCCATCCCCCCAGTCCAGGACCATCTCTCTGCCCACAGTCTATTCCCCTGGGCTCTGTCCTGCCTTGCAAGCTGGGGCTCCCCTCTTCCCAGGGGAGACAGTTCCCCATCTGGAGCTGTCTCCCTGCTGGGAGTCCCCGTTGGGAGCGGGCACTCTGGGAGCTGAGCTGTGTCCTTGCTTATCTCTTGCAGGAGAGCTCACTGCCAAGCGCAGCCTGGACCGGGAGCAGCAGTCAAGCTATCAGCTGCTGGTGATCGTGCAGGATGGGGGGACGCCACCCCGCAGCGTCACGGGCACCATCTATGTCACCGTGTTGGATGAGAATGACAATTTGCCGGCTTTCCTTCATGTGCTGGGCGGGCGGGAGCTCCTGGTGCAGGTGAGGGGGGCAGGCAGGCACTTCCTCTGAAAATTGTGAGGCTGGGAGCTTCAGGTGCAAGTTGTGTGGTCCAGAGCCCTCAGTACAGATTGGGGGGGGCAGAGCTCCCACTGCAGGTTGTTGGGGGCCAAGAGCGCTTGGTGGGGGTGGAGAGAGCCCCTGTGCAGGTTGGGCGGAGTGGGGGGAGGAGAGAGCCCCTGTGCAGGTTGGGGGGGGAGAAGGAGAGAGCCCCTGTGCAGGTTGGGCGGGG